TGAAGCTTGCTAGAGCATTTCCAAAGGACCTTTTCCCCATCCTCATGAGGTGCACCCTGTCCTTTGCTAGAAGACCATTGGCAAGGAACCGGGAGCTGTGGTTGAGAAACCCAAAATGATACTACACCCTGAGCCAATCGTTCACCTCAGTAACCCTCCTTTCCTTGGCTGGCCTAAATCCCTAGACCAGCAAGATAGAGAAAAGGCCACTTGGGTCTTTAGGTCCCTGAGTTTCTTTCTTTCCTTCTTTATTCAAAACATTTATAACCTGTCCTTTGCATAGCCTTAGGACATAGAAACATAGAAACAGAGCGAGTGAAAAGGGGCCTCCCAGGCCATCTTGCTTGCCCCCAGCTCCAGCCGACTCCGCTCATGACATGCCCACCATGTGCATGTCAGCATACAGCAATAAATAGGAACAGCGTACAGCAATAAATAAACATAAAATGCAATTAAAGTATTCAATAATAAATATTAAAACATTCAACTATAACAATTCAAATTAAAAGAAGAGAAAAAAGAAAAGAAAGAAAATGAGACTGTAAAATATTGTTATCTTATTAAAATTACTAATTTAATTATTAAAATGATGGGTAAATAAAAAGGTCTTTACTTGGTGCCAGAAAGAGTAGAAAGTTGGTGCCAGGTGGACCTCTGTGAGGAGCATATTCCATAATCTTGCCCAGATCTTCAAAGTCCCTAGTGATCCCCCCCATCTCCTGCCTGGCCATGTTGTTCGTCCCCATGTGGATCACCAGAAGTGGCTGCTCACCCCTCAAGGGAAGAAGATGCTCTACTCTGCCTGTCACATGCCAAATGCGTGTGCCTGGCTGGCAGCAGACCTCCCTCACCTCAAGGTCAGGGTGGCACACCACTGCCTCAGTGCCCCTTAGCAGGGAGTCCCCATCAACAATCACCAGCTGCCATCTCTTCCCAATGGCAGTAGATGGCCATGCCTTGGCTCTCGCCTCTCCTGCAGCAGTCCCCTGGCCACATCTGGCCCCAGGCTGGCAACCCCGGACAGGTCAGTCCCCCACGTCCTCCTCATCCCCAGCCTCCCCAAGCAGAGAAAACCTCTTTCCCAGCTCCAGGTTCGTGCCAGGAGACAGAGGAGGCTGTGCTGGCCTCCTCATCCTGTGGGTGACATGCCTCCATGTCTCCCCAGCTGTTTCTCCCTCTGCCCCTCCCTCAAGCTTCTGTCCGGAGCGGGGCTGCTCCCAAGCGGTCTGGAGAGCATTCTCAGCCCTCAGACTCCTCACCTCCTCCTCTAGGAGGGACATCAGCTTGCATCTGGCACAAGTGTCCCTCTCTTGATGGAGAAGGGCAAATATGTCACAGGTGTCAGAGCAGACAGCAACACCTGTGATTCCCATCATGGCCATTTCCTGGCCTGACATCGGCCACCCCTCGCAGTCCCTACCTCCTTCCCCTGCCCTGTCTGTCCCCCGCCTTGTCTGTCCTACACTAACCTTCCCTGAGTTTACTCTCCCAGTTCTCCCAGACAGAGTAATAATGACAAGCATTTATAAAAAACAAAAACAAACAATGACCTGGGGAAGAGAGTCCCCAGGTAGCCTGGACAGCAGCTAAGGGATGCTGACAAGGGACGAGGTCCTTGTTGTGTAGCCTTTAACGCTTGGCCGTTGGCACCACCAAGAGCTGCGTGTGGCTTTATAAGCCTCAGAGGCTGCTGGCCCTGCCTTCAGCTTCCTCCTGGGTCTCTCTGGCCCTGCCTCCCTTCCTCTCTGCTGCTCCTGCCCCCACCCCTGATCCTCTGCCCAACTCCTACCTTTCCTTTGCCAGTTCAATGGACACCCTCTGCATACTCTCCCAGCCTCTGCTGCTCTACCAAGAGCCAAAAGAAGGCAAAAACCGCACAGCATGGTATCCTACCTTTGGTCCTGGACTCAGACAGGCAAATGGTTCTGTGCATGAGTGGTTACCACCCTCCTCCATCTTTCTTCCTAATGGGGGCTGTTTTCTGTGGCAGCTTGTTTTCTGGGTTCATATGTGGAAACAAGCCCTGATAAAGCATGGAAAGCGTAGCACAGACTGTTGTTTCTCTGTGAGGTTCCACAGAGACCATTCTTGCCACGCTTCACCATAGTTGCCATGCTTGGGCATAATGTCAAGCCATGCCACTTCAGTTTCCATCATGGTTCATCAGTATGTCTTAACCTGGCCATTCAGAGGGCACCCAGTTGGGGAAGAGTCCACCAGGAATAGCAATCCACACATTTTGACTAGCTATGGGAATCTGCCCAAATTTGTGCTTTGAAGATGCAAATTTGAGATATGGAGAGGAACAAGGTTCTGACTTTACTATAAATGATGCCCCCGTGACCTCTTGAGGATTATTACTTCCTGAGCACCTCTAATGGCTTTCCTGACAGCCGCATCAAGCTGATTACTTGATCACAGAAATGCTTGTTCCTGGCCCCCATATCTGGGGACCTCCCCTTCTGAATGCCCCTTTGGACCTGTGGTATGATGCTTCTGCCACAGGAAGTGTGTGTGTGGAGGGGGCTGCTACCTTTAAGGCTTTAGAAGAGGATCTGTCCCATCCAGGGGAGATGCAGTGATCAGTTGCTACTGACCATGATGGAACCTTCTGCTTCAGAGACAGTACACCCCTGGATCAGCTTGATTCTTTCTCATCTGGAGACACCAGAATGGGGAAGGACTCTTGCCCTCCTGTCTTGTTTGTGGGCTTTCCAGGGACATCTGGGCAGCCACTGAAGGAACAGAGCAGGAGGCTAGCTTAGCTGGACATTTAGGACATTCCTTTTCAAATTCTAGCCAGCAGTTTCACTGCAGTGGACTTGGTTGCAGTTTCAAACACTTGCATTGCTTTGCATTGCTTTGTCACTGAAAAAACCTTATTCTGAGGGAGTCTTGCTGCTGCTGTCACTGTTATATCTCAAGTATTGAGTGGTGAAGGGGGTGCTTTCCTTGTTTTGGGTAAGCACAGCATCATGACTGAAGTGTTACGCTATTAGGTGGATCCAAAATTGGCTGCTAAATCGGACACACAGAGACCTCATCAATGGCACCTTCTCAAATTGAATGGAGGTAATGAGTGGGGTGCCGCAGGGTTCAGTCCTGGGCCCAGTGCTCTTCAACAGCTTTATTCATGATTTAGATGAGGAAGTACAAGGAATGCTAATCAGATTTGCAGATGATACAAAACTAGGTGGAATAGCAAACACCCTAGAAACAGAATGAAGGGTGATTTTGATGAACAGTGGGCTGAAGGCAACATAATGAGATTCAGTAATGACAAATGCCAAGTCCTCCACCTAGGAAAAAGAAATCAAAGACATCAATACAAGATGAGGAATACATGGCTCAACAGAACTGAACAAGAAAAAGATCTTGGAGTAATTGTGGACAACAGGCTAAACATGAGCCAACAATGCGATGCAGCCGCCAAAAGAGCAAATGCTCTTTTGGGATGTATTAACAGAAGTATTACTTCCAAATCACGAGAAGTAGTAGTTCCTCTATACTCCTAACTGGTCAGACTGCAGCTGGATTATTGTGTCTAGTTCTGGGCACCAAGATTTAAGAAAGAGCTGCCCCGAGGCTTTGTTGCGATGGGGGCGGCATAGAAATGTTTTAAATAGATAAATAAAATAAGATGCAGATAATTTCATGCATCTATGGAATGCGCTCCCGAGAGAGGTCCGCCTGGCACCGTCGTTATTTGTTTTTCGGCGCCAGGCTAAGACCTTTTTATTTAAACAATATTTAAACAATGTTTAATATTATCTATAGGTTTTAACTTCCAGCCAGAATGAATCGGGGGTTTTAATTTGTGTAATTTGTATTTTTTGTATTTGTATTGGGCACTGTGTTGTCTATTTATGTTTATTTATGTAAGCCGTCCCGAGGCGTTAAGCGATGGGACTGCATATAAAAACTTCAAACAAACAAACAAATTAGAAGGGGTCCAGCGGGAGGCAACAAAAATGATCCGGGGTTTGGAAACACTGCCCTGTGAGGAGAGATTGAACTGGGCATGTTCAGCCTTGAGAAGAGAAGACTGAGAGGGGACATGTTATCCCTCTAGAACAGGGGTGGGCAATTAATTTTCCTATGGGGCCACATGAGAAACTTTGACAGTTGTTAAGGACCGGACCAATACACTTATAGCTCTGCTCAATATATATCTCTATAAAAACAGTAAATGAAACATTACAATGATGCAATGAAAATGTGGAGCACAGAACAACACTATTTAATGAATATTCACAAAAACATTAACATTAACATTACATGAAAAGCAATAAATTCAATTCAGTTTAGCAGATCCTTCAAAATAAAAGCAGTGCAGTTGTATTGCTTGCATCTATATTATGACAATATATATTTGCATTGACTTTTAATTTGCCAGTGACCTCATGCGGGCCAGTCAGGGTCAGCCATTGGGCCGGATGTGGCCCGCGGGCCGTACAATGCCCAGGTCTGTTCTAGAAGTACCTCAAAGGCTGTCACAAAGAGGAAGGTCAAGATCTCTACTTACTAATGCCAGAGTGTAGGACACAGAATAATCAATTCGAGTTGTGACAACTCAGATTCAGGCTGGACATCAGGAAAAGCCTCCTCACTGTCAGAGCAATGTGACAGTGGAACCAGCTGCCTGGAGAGGTGGTGGCTCTCCCACAGTGGAGACATTCAAGGCAAAACTGGGCAGCCTTCTGAGTGGGATGGTGTAACGTGGTGTCCTGCAAGTGCAGGGGACTGGACTTAATGGCCTTCATGGCCCCTTCCAACTCTACTATTATATGATTCTATGACTGGGACTAAGAAGCGCTGGATTCTTGTCCCCAACTGGTTATAAATTGGTTATATATTGGGTGGCTTTGGGCCAGTCACTGACTTTCAGCCTAACCTACCTCACAGGGTTGTTGTTGTAAGGATAAAATAGCGAGGAGCAGAAAAAGTGTGTAAGCTGTCTTGGGTAAGAAATACTAAAACCTCTTTGTGCTTATGTGTAGGTGAAGAGGAATGGAGATGCCTGGGATGTGGGGACAGGATTGCCACTGGGCAGCGCCTCTACAGGACAGTTAATGAAGCTTGGCACACATCCTGCTTCCGGTAGGTAAACAAACCCTGTTGCCTCGCTTCTTTTGGTGACAGAGGACCTACCAACTCGGAATGGGTGGCTGCAGGAAGGGAGCTGGCTGCTGAAGGGGTCTGAGGGGCCTGTCTTCTCTTGCTTTCACCACTAGGTAAAACACTTCCTTTTAAATTGACTTTTAAGATATGGTCCATTGTGTTCTGGAGATTCATTTTACTTGCCCTGTTTTTATTTACATGGATTTATATTTTATGTTTTAAATTCGTTGTCTTATCTTATTGTGTTGGTTATATTGCATTTCTGTCTTGTCTTATTGTAAGCTGCCTTGATTAGTTTAATATTTTAAACTGTCTTCCAATGAAAAATAAAGTAAATGTAAATTCACCGATCTACAACAGGATAGACACTGGATTGACGAAGCTGCTTCTTGCTAGCCTAGAGAGTAGCGATGATGTGGCGTTTGTTCTCCATTCCTGCCGTAATGTTCTTTTTCATTTCTAGCAGCCTCCTGCAATTCTGCTTTCTATGGCAAGTGTTCTCTTGCCCTAATTGAAGGGTGATGGAGATAAGAGGAGGTATAGGTTCCTCTTTAGCTTGTAGACGTGAAGTAGAAAAATATGAAAAATTAACTGTCATAGCTCTGTCCTTCCTGCCCCTACCCTTTTTGTACCAAACACAAACACAATCTGAAATGGGTTGACTCTCGTCACATTTAGAACAGCTCAGCAGGAATGCCGTGGGCAGGACATTTCTGAGGACGTCCATTCGCAGCATTGCCATAAATCGGAGATGACTTGATGACACATAACAGAAACAACAAAGTGTATGTAGCAGGGTTAGCAACCTGCCTGCTGCTGCTGATCCCCCCCCCCACACACACACACACACTCACTCACACACGCAATCTTGCTATGCAGCCAGTACCTGCTGAGGAACAGTTTGCTTCTCCCATTCTACCCCCGCCCCCAACTGATTCTAGCTTCTGCTTAGAGATACCTTTTGCGCCCTGGGGAGAGATCAGCATTTCTACGGTTGGGGTGTGTCTCCTGGGAACTGCTGCCAAGTAGCAGCACCTCTGTGTCCCCATGAGCCGTGTGTAATGAGCAGCTTGCATGTGGAGGTTTGTTTTGCTGAGCAGTCAAGAGCCAAGCTGCTCGTGACCTTGGTGGACCTGTGCGTCAGGATCAGGAGGCCACTGAATTTCTGCTGGAGGCTACAGTCCGACATGTCCGAAGGCACAGATCTCTTCGGAAGACTGCGGTAGACTGCATTGTGGGCGGGTCAGTGGTAAAGCCCTGTCTGGGTGGGTAAGAGCAGGAACTGAACTTTGCTCCTGCATCTGCCAATGTTTCTAGCAGCAGCCTTTCACCTGGTGGGGCTCTGTGACCAGAAGGCAGTCCTGCCTGGGGAACAGTGACTCTGGCAAATCAGGTGGTAAGCATAGGATGCGGTTCACTTCCCCTCCCACCACCACTCCACACCATCATGCGCACTCTGCACATGGCCTGCCTTGCGCTTTCTGTTTGCCCGGGCTGGATTGTGCTCTGGGATGTCTGGGTTCCAGCTGTTGTATTCCTGGTTGGAGGTCTAGTCGGTTGGAGGCCTTTTCAGCTACAACCTGGGTGTTTCAGTTGAGATGTTTCCAGTTCTCCAGCTCCATATGTCCTGGGGAAGGGCTGTCTTGCTGGGATGCTTTTATAATCATGTTAATTGACCTTAATCGCTCACTTGAAAAGGACAGCTTCTTGGCACATAAACTCTTCTCTTTCCTTAAGTAAATAGGTTCTGAAGCGGTGGGGTGGGGGGTGCCATGTGATTCCAGGCAGTCCTTCTGAGCTCTTCCTGTGGTGCTCAGAAGGGCTTGGCCCTTGCTCTACTTTCCCCTGCACTTGGGCTTCCCCTCATAGCAGAGAGGCAAAGCACCAGGCCTGTGCCTATCCTGGGCACATCAAGGCCTGGCACAGAGGAATGGTGCTGCCGCCAGACAAATCAGCCACCCTGGACAATGTACAGAGCAGGCTTCTGGAGTACACATCTGCTAGTTTCTCCTGCTCTTCTCTTTTCTATGTCAGAGTCCCCAAATCTTCCATCGTTGCCACGCATGTTGCAGCAGAGTGGCTCAGACAGCAAAGATTTCCACTGCCTAGGGAATTTTAGCCAGTGCCATTCTGCATAAGAATATAATTCCACCAGGGTTGAGTCATTGCTCATTGTTGCTGTTTTGTCTTATAGGGCTGGCTAGGAAAGCATCTGCAGCTTGAATAAGAGGGGTGGTCTTCCACTAAGCAGCAATTAATGCATTTCATTTAGACATTAAATTGGGTCTTTTAGGAGCCTTTCTCCAGTTTTTCACGCACAGTCAGTTTCATCTGAGTGGCAGTAGTGTCACGCGGGTGGTGCTGCAGGGGTCCCCCCATCACAGTCTGATGCACGCAAGCGCAGACCAAGGAAGCTCACTGCCTCTGCCACAGCATGGCAGGAAAGAAGGAAGGGGTGAACTGAGTGGTCTTGCTGGTGTTCCTCACTTACTTCTAAAAAGTTCAGAATATCTACTCTTCTATCTGGAGTTAGGCAGTAGGAGAGTGTCGAGTGAGGATGCAAGCAGAGGTAGCTGGAAAGGGGACTCAGTGGTGCTTATGTAGCCACGTGTAACCCAAGCACTTGCAAAAGCAGAGCATGCATTGCTGCAAGAAGGTTCTTCGCCGTGGCCGCTGTGCATCACACATATGGGTGCTGCGCCTGCACAGTGCCTGTAGCTGGGAAGATTTAAAAGCTTAACGGTTTTGGTGGGAACTCTGCACCGCGCCCCACAGTATAAGAAGGCGGAGTGCCTGCCATTTCCTCAGTCTTCTTGTGACTGCCGTTCGCTGTGCCTTGAGCCTTTCATTTCTCAGTTTGTAGCTATATTGTGTATCTTGTTCTCCCTTAAACCCTTGTTTCTCTTAGCTTCTTGTTAAGATTCCAAGTTATTACCCTCCCTGTTAGAAGTTTTCTTCACATTCCTTCCTCCCCTTTTTTCCCTGTTACCCCAACCCCCCCAAAAAAGTTTTTCTCTCTTACATTCTAAGTTTCACTATCTTCTCCTTTTCATTCTCGATGGCTCAACATGTGGCTTTCCGCAAGTGCTCTCAGTGCGGATCTAAGATGTCTCCTACTGATCCATACAACCTGTATCTTCTTTGTCTTGGAGAAGGACACAGGACTGATAAATGCGGCCATTGCCAGGCCTTTACAAAGCAGGTGCAGAAAAATCAAGAGAACTGCCTGTGCAAACTCTTATGAGACCAGGCCCTGCTTCAGTCTGATCAACTAGCAGGCCAATCCACTGCACAGCCCTCCTCTTTGGCTGCCGCTCCGCCCTGCCCATTGGCTGATGGTGCTACTCTGACGGAGGGTAAGCGCTCCTCTAAATCTCCAAACAAACAAAAGGAGCAGAGGAAGCACAGTGGACCGGGCAAGTCCTCAGGCCACAAGAAGCCTAAGAAGGACAAGGCGGACAAGATGTCGCATAAATCTAAGAAAACTGATCAACCCCAACACTGTGATTCAGGTTCGTCTGCTCCGTTGGCCCCAATGGCCGCTTCGGTACCAAGACCAACCGGACTGGCTCTCCAGCTGGCGATGCAGGTGACTCCACCTGGGTCCCCGCGACAGGTTGTCCCTTCCGTCCTATCTTCGCCTGAACACCAGGAGGCAGCCATGTTGGGATCTACCTCTGATGGAGAGATCCGGGTCTCTCCTCAGATGGCTCCTCCGATGGCGCCCACACCGCAACCATCGCTGGAGGCTTTCCCGAGGGTCCCTCCTCAGCAGGTGCGATAGCAGCAACGTGCCTCGACCCGTCCCTCTGGAGAACGGGTGCAAGTGCCCCATGGATTGGCCCATCGTGAACCATGGGACGACTGTGCACCGTATGGGTACTGCCCCTCGGTGTGCAACCGTACCCTCTCTCCGGTCCCAAGGGATGTTCCATCGATGTCCGGCGCAGCTCAGTCCAGGCGCCCGTCTTCGCCGTCCGACTCCTCCTCTAGTCCTCCGCTCCTTTATGACTCTGAGTCAGAAGACTCGGAAGTAGTGTCCACTTCACTGGATGTGGTGATCACCACTCAAGGTCCCAGCTTACTGGAGGAGTCACACTCGATGTTTGGGGAACTGATGGCGAGATTGACGAGGTTATTGGAGATTGAAGCCCAGCACTGCTTCAGTCCCAGTACCGATAAGTTTTACAACATCGTCAAAAGTGAACAGTCAGCCGTCATCATTTTGCCACTTCTCACCATGCTTCAGAAGGTTATGATGGAACCGTGGAAACATAGAAACAGAGCGAGTCAGAAGGGGTCTCCTGGGCCATCTAGTCTGACGCCTGGCTCCAGCCGGCTCCGCTCACGACATGCCCACCATGTGCACGTCCAGCCTATCCTTGAACACCCCACTGATGGGGCCTCAACCACCTCCCGTGGAAGCCCATTCCACACCCTCGGGGTCCTGACTGTCAGGAAGTGCTTCCTGGCACCCAAATGGAACCTTGGCTCCCTGAGCTTTGCTCCGTTGGAGCGCGTCCTGCCTTCCTCTGCAGGGGAGAACAGGTCTCTACCCATCTCCATGTGACATCCCCTCACATACCTGTATGTCGCCAACATATCCCCTCTGAGTCTCCTCTTCTCCAGGCTGAAGAGGCCCAGTTCCCTCAGTCTTGCCTCATACCCCATCCCCTGCAAACTGGCCACCAACCTTGTGGCCCTACGCTGCACTGACTAACCTGACTATATCCCTCCTGTAATGAGGGGCCCAAAACTAAGCACAATACTCCAGTTACGGGCGCACCAGAGTCGTATAGATTGGTAATAATACGTCTCTTGATCTAGTAGCCACACTTCTGGCTATGCAACCAAGGGTGGCGTTCGCCCTCTTGACCACCACTTCACACTGCTGACTCATGTTTAGCCTGCAGTCAACCAGTACCCTGAGGTCCCTTTCACAAGTGCTGCTCTCCAGCCGCTTGTCCCCTAACCTGCAT